ACAATGAAAACCTCTACGTTTCAGTCAGAGTCCCAAACTCTGGAGTGTTGGAAGCCCTAAGTCGGTGAGGCCCCCCCCAATGAGGTCGGCCAAGGACTATATGGGGCCGTCGGAGGCGAGTTTCGACAGCCCCTTCCTCCCGATGCCCCTCAAGAGGCATCGCACCCTCCAGCGCTTGGCTGCTGCCAGGTGCGTCGAGCCCCTGGTGGTCGCACCCCGCCATGAGAGCTCACCAAACCCTAGCGGGCAGGTACACAGCCACAAGATCATCATCACCCCCAGTTCTCATCTCGTTTGTACGCAGGGCCATTCAAAGCCTCTCCCTCGAGCGTCACAACATGAACCATAAGATGACAATGTACTACAACGACATGTTCCACACCCTGGTGAACGTGAGTGACACAGTGTGGTGAAGGACTGGACCTGATCTTGGGCGTCGGGCACGGGATCGCACCGGGGGATGGGTCCCTGAGGATAGAATGCACAGAGAGCAAAAACCCCCCTTCATCCTGCACCTCTCAATCCCCCACAGATGCCAAACTACTTATTTTTCCTAACTTTCCTGCTGTCATATCTGAGCATGGTGCGGGGACAGGGAAGCGTGGTGCTGGCATCCAAATGCTCAGGTCATAGTCAAGATCAGATGTTGCCCCAGGCTACCTCTGCAGCATCCATTCCCCCTCACCCCACTCTCCCGTGCGCCGCGCAGTACACCACCTTCGCCTTTCTGTACATGCTGGAGCCCGATGGCTGCATCACTAAGGTCCACCAGTTCTCCCACGCCATGTGGTTTAGTGTGCACACCTCGGCCACCATTGGATACGGCCACATGTGGGTGATGGGCGATGAATCGAGGGGATAGAAAGTGTGTTGATTGGAAGGCGCTTTCTCAGGGGAAGACGCTTTCTCAGAGGGTGACAGGATGTTAGAGCAGCCCGGCAGGAATTCCGGTCGAGTCTGCAGGACACTGGAGCTGCACTGACATGGTGTCAAAGCGACCAGTCGATGGCTCGAAGGCTCACATCTGTCATCACCTACCCATGCCGGGTCTGTCTGTCCCAGTGCTCCTTTGATGCCAGCTTTATCCACTCAAACCCTCCCTTGCCGACATGTTCCAGGGCGCCAAATCCAGACTGCGTCAGCACCAACCTCCTGATCCTGGCGGAGGTGTTGACCACCTGCCTGCTGCAGGCTGCCCTGCTGGGCGTTGTATACGCGAGATTCAGGCACGCCTTCTGGATCGTGCCTGGCAGTGGGCATGTGTGGGACAAGATGAGCCGCTTGAAGACTGCATGAGAGCTTGCGTGATTGGACCCAGTGCTGGAAGGGCATCATCCTTGCGAAGAACTTCACGTAGCTACATACTAGCTCAAATAGTCCATACATTCCCTCACCCCATGCTCCGCGCAGCACGCCTTCCAAGAGGGCCAGCACCCTCCGCTTCAGCGAGATCATGGCCTGCCACGACCAGGATGATGGCACCCAGTGGCTCTGCTTCAGGGTGGCCAACCTCCGCCAACACCAGGTAGGGTGGAAAGGGTGGGAGTGAGGCATGGGATTGATATGCTGTGGACCTGCTGCATCTGCTGGGCACCCTTTCCTGAGGTCCATGGGTACTTTGACCATGCGCCGTGTACCACACCTCCGCCAAGCGCCCTGCATTGGGCCCTGGATCGCACTCCCCGCCCATCCCCTTCCCCGCAGCTGCTGCATCCTGAGGTTCGCATGCTCTTCATGCGCCTCGTCCACCATGGACCAGACAGCCATGAGTACGTCTACTCCGACCTGAACGTCAGACAGGCGAGGCCCGAGGTTGCAGGGGAGGGGAAGAGGGGTCCAGGTGCTCTCGCTGGCCTCCTAGGGAATCATAGGCTCGGTGGTGGGGCAGTCATGAATGCTAGGTGGTAGGAGAAGCACAGAAGTCGGAAAAGGTTGCATCGGTTTACTACTCAGTGTGTTGTGCGCCCAGTGCCTCTCGGCGCCCTCAGTCCCACATCCCAACTCCCACCCTGCTTGCCACAGCTGGGCGGCGGGAAGCTGTGGATGGGGGTGCCCTCCATCCTGTACCACACTGGTGTGTGCATGGATTGGTTTCCCGTGAGATTCCCTTGGGCAAATGCGGGAGGCCCCTGTGCAAGATTGTGAGCTCCGACACCAATCCCCTACTCTCCCGGGCCCATGACCCTTGCCAGTGGATGCTGACAGCCCCTTGTATGGCCTGAACGAGGAGGATCTGGATGAGATGGATGTGGAGATCCTCGTCATCCTGGACGGCATTGATGAGACCACCGCCACGCCCATCCAGGCTAGCTTTTCTTCTTGGGCGTGGGGGAAAGAGGGGGATGGGATCCTTTGGAACATGCCCTGGGGTGGCCGGGGGCAGGAGCATGCAGGGCTGCCTGGTCGTTGCATGATGCAGCGAGGAGGTGCGCCTAGGAACCTCCCCCAGCCCGCAGTTGGGCCCCTTGCCGACCTGAACTGCCCCCCTTGTAACCCCTATGGCCTTGCAGGCGAGGAGGTCCTACTTCCCCTCTGACATTCGGTGGGGACACCAGTTCCGGCCTGTCCTGCGGAGAGGCCACAGCGGCCGGCTGGGCGTGGACTATGCCGACTTTGATGCCACGCAGACGGCGGCGCCTCCCGCTCCAAGCACTGCAGAGTCAGATGGCGGCGTCTGAGCCCGAGCCCCTGCTGCAGGCAGAAGGCCCTGCGTGAACCATGCGCTGCCTTTAGACACAGCCTATACCGATAGTTTACAATGGTGAGCGGGGAAGACTGCCAGCCGGAAACATTGAGCGTGGTGAGGACGACTGCAGCCTACTGCGAGGAGCGTCAGAGCCATCTCAGCAGGGTGCTATGCGATGGAGGATTCGTAAACTATAAATCATCGGGCTTATGCTCCTGCGCCGGCGCGTCGTCCTCCCACTCGACCCCCGCAGGGCCAGGAGTGGGGGGCGCCAGCAGACCCACCACACACGCCGACATGAGGAAATCGATGTTGACCCAGGGGTGGTACTTGTCAAACATGGCGGTGCCGTCCTTGCCCGCCACCGCCAGCAGCATCTTGTCGCCTCCCGGGTGGAAGGCCATGTATGCGCTCATGTTGTAAACCTATGCAGCGAGGAGGGGAGGCCGGCCGGGTGGGGGGTGCAAGCCAAACGAGAATAGGGCCTCCTCAGCAATGAAGCCGGCGGGGCATCAGGCAAAGGGAGATCCGCCAATCACCCTGGCGACCGGCCTCCCCGCATACAGCTTCGCACCAGGCCGCACCTTGCCGCGAATGGCGGTCCATGCATCGTCCCGCGTCCTGTGCTGCTTCACCTCCTCCAGCGTGATGCCTCGCCTAGGGGCGCCGCCCTTCAGGCCTGCACACGACATGGCCATGCAGAGGTGTCACGGCCTCCCTGCCTGCTCAGAGGCACACCTCAAGCACCCCACAGCCGCCCCACCTGACAGGTCGGCCTTGGAACGGCTGAGGCGTAGCCAGTCCATGGGGCTGCATCCTATCTGGAATGGCAGCTTCTTCCGGGGACGGCCTGCTGCCCCCGAGGCAGGCACACCCACAGCCGAGGGCGCTGCCAGGGATCCCGCCGAGCTGTCTGTCACCGTGGACCTCTCGAGCAAGGGGTTCTGCGGGCACGCAGGGGCACTGTCAGGGTCCGGTGTGTCGGGCCGTGCAAGTGATCGTGTCGCTCCCCGCCCAGCTCCTCGCACCCTTGCAGGCAGCGGCTTGGGCTTGGGGAGGTCTGGGAACGCGAAGCCATCGTTTGACGCATCCCCTGCCACCATGTAGCCCAGGTCGGGGACTCGGAGCGGCAGGGTGCGCAGGTGCTGCACGGCCCTCGCCCCGTGGAGCACGCGATCAGACCAACATGCAAAGTGATTTCGCTGCGTTGTTTACGCCCTCACATTGCCGAGTGTGTGTGGAGGCATCAGTGAGGCCCTTCCGCTCACGGACTGAGGGTCCTTCGGCGCGCCTTTCCAGGTCTTCAACGCGCGCTCTGCAGCTGCTGGTGCAGGCCTGCTGCGAATCGTGCGAGCCCCGGCCCACCCCGTTCCCTCAGCCCCCCGGAACAATGCTTACAGGGCACACTGGATGCAAAAGGAGACCCCACGCCACAGCTCACCACGCCTGCTTGGTGTAGGAGTGCATGTCGTGGATGCCGCCCTCGACCAGCGCCGCCCCGGTCCGGTCGCGCAGGCGCAGCTCCCCCGCGGCGAGCGCGGCGTGCGCGGCGGCCACGGACCGCGCCCCAAAGTCCTGGAACCCCTGCCGCACGGCCTGCATGAGGAAGGGCACGTTGCGCCGAACCGACCCCTTGTCCCTCACCGTCCCGGACACGCCCTGCGCGATCTTCAGCGACTGCGAGGCGTGGTGTTCGCGGGGGAGGAGGGGGAAGGAGGGATCAGGTGAAACAGGGGTC